TCTGAGGAAGAGTCACCGGACCCGAAACGTTAACTCTGTTTTCTCCTCTGACATCATCAAGGTATGTTTACTCTATACCTTTGCAGCTGTGACCTGAATCAGGTCCTGTTTTGCACTGTCATCTGCCCTAACTAGAATCATAGAATCCATACAGTGCAGAAGCAGGCCATCCAGCCTTTCGAGTCCACATCCCACCCTCTACCCTTTCCCTGTAACCCTACATTTCCCATGGCTAATCCACCTAAATGTGCACATCCCTGGACACTGTGGGCAGTTGGTCAATCCACCTAACCTGCACAGCTATGGAGGAAACCAGAGCACCTGGGGAAAACCCACGCAGACAGGATGGAGAACATGTAAACTCCACACAGATAGTTGCCTGAGGCTGGAATTGAACCCGGGTCCCTGGCGCTGTGAGGCAGCAGTGTAGTATGATAATGTCAGGCAACGTAAATTCATCCTTCTGCCTTTGCAAACAACACTGCTTAGAAGTCTCCTATGTGTAAGTTCAGTCCATAGATATCATTTAAACTAAATATAGCTGCAATTTACTATAGAAATTTAAATGAGAACAGCTAATTAAACCCTTGCCCTCAGCTGTAAAGGCAGTTTCTGATCGTTACTGATTATTTTCTTTAAGCCTGCTGCATAGATTGTTTGGATTCCTCCCAGCCTCCAAAGCCAGATCTTCAAGATAATAATTATTTCTTTGACTCTCCTGTCCTCTGGCCCACTGACCCCACCCCATCCCTGCCCAACTTGAAGGTGGTTTTCTTCAGAAAAATCTTCCACTTTCCTGACCATTGCTGCATTCACCGTCCAAATCCAGAGTCTGAGTCTTGCTAAGTTATTCAGGGGCACCACTGATTCAGATTATGGTCCTCGCCCTGCTTCTGACAATGCTGCTTCCCAGCAGAGGCAGTAGACGAGAAGCAGAATCGCTGGCTGATCTCCTCGTTCACCATCCCAAAAGAAACATCTATTTATGTTGTGTCCAGGTGTCGCTGCTATTCTACCTCAAAGCAGCTAGTTTAGAAAGTACTGGGGATTAAACGTGGCTGAGGGGACCATATTTCAATATTACAGGAAATCACTGAGGGAACAGCTCTGCTTTGAAGTTAATTTGTCAATTGCTGAATGTTATTGTTGTAATGATTCACATCACCAATGTAGTTCATTTCTATAGAACTCCACCTTTGAGCCTTGGAGACAATAAGGACTGCAGATGCTGGAAGCCACAGCCAAAGGTGTGAAGCTGGCAAAGCTCAGCAGGTCAGACAGTATCGGAGCCAACGTTGACTTTCCTGCTCCTCTGATGCTGTCTGCTGTGCTTTTCCAGCTTCACACCTATAGACTCTATCTTGTCCTTGCCTTGAGTTCTTGAGTTATTCAAAATTAAACGAGTGGGACATTTAAATTCTGGGTCTTACACAAAGCTCTTTAGTAACCATTCTTTGTAGATGAATTTGCATATTTTGTTTTGATAGTTGTGTGTTACTATAGCTGCATCATCAGTCTCAAACTGTTCTTTATGGTTATGTAACTTCAGAAATTGGACAGCAACAAGCCCAGAGGAGCCACTGTCTCTGAGCATTGATGTAAGTACTTATGGGATCATGTAACTGTGCTGCTTTACTGTTTTAAGGACACTCTGATGTGCTACTCATTTCCCCCTTTCCTACCCTCAACAAACTTGAGGATATTCAAGACGATGTGTTTGTGTTTGTGTTCTGGCCTGCATCTTATGGGGCCTGAGCTTGCTGAACCCACGCTTGATCCCAGTTTAGCAATGTCTTGATTTTAATATTCTCATCCTTGTTTTCAGATCCCTCTTCTTATCTGTGTAATCTTCTCCAGTCCCACAATACACAGAGATATCTGCACTCCCCCACTTCTGGCATCTCGAGCATCTCTGATTTTAATCACCCAGCCTTCAGTCCCCTGGGCCCTGAGCTCTGGAATTCCTTGTCTACAACATCCCCTCTCAATGCTTCACTCTTCTCTTCTAAGACTCTCTTGAAAACCCATCTCTTTATCCACACTCTTGTATTCTAATCTAGTATCTCTTATGTGGCTTGTGTCATGTTTTGCTTTGTAATGCTGTTGTGAAGCACCTTTGGATGTTTATAGTGTTAAATTATATAAATGTCTATTGTTATAAGTTTCAATTGAAGGTGTCTTGTTCTTTTTATAATATAGTACCTGTTGCCGACAGCCTCGAGCCAGGAGGCACAGCAGTGGCTGCACAGAAACCGCTTCTCAGCATTCTGCCAATTATTTTTCAATTTTTCAGGTGAGGCGTGTTATTTCTACCAAAGAAGTCTAGAATTCATGGAAGCCCTTGTGAAATCCTCGAGGCCTTCAATAATGGCTGATCCCTGGTATCCACAAAAATTAAATCTGGACACAGAAACAAAAGTTTACTTATTTGTCAACAGAACGCTAACTGATTGGAGTCACTAAATACTCTTGTCCCTCCTCTTTATTGCTGGAGGCTTGAGGGTTGCAGAAGGCAGAACACTATTTTTTGTACTTCCCTTTGTTAGCTATCCTTTTAATCCACAAAATAAGCACAGATGTTCAGATAATCACTTTATTGTTAGCATTCAGGAAGCGAGATGGTGAAGGATAGAATACTGGAACCTAACCCTTATACACTTATAATTTTTTAATTACATAAATAAATATTACATATCATGCACTTTCAACTAATAGTAAGAGAAATCATAGAATCCCTATATTGTGGAAGCGGGCCATTTGGCCAGTTGAGTCCACACTGACCCTACAAAGAGCATCCCACCCTAAAACCCTGCGTATCTCATGACTAATCCACCTAACCTGCATATCTTTGGACTGTGGGAAGAAATCGGAGCACCCAGAGGAAACCTACACAGACACGGGGAGAATGTGCAAACTCCCCACAGACAGTCGCCTGAGGTTGAGAATTGAATGTGGGTCCCTGGCGCTGTGAGGCAGCAGTGCTAACTACTGAGCCAACATGCTGCCTTTTTAGCCTGTTCCTGTTTAAAATCTCTTTTGAAATAACCTGAAACAACTAGGTGTGGCATTTCCCTCTCGGGGATGTTCAGTGGTAGCTACCCCCAAATGCCCATGCCTGGTTCTGTTCATATGCTTTTGTTTAAAAATTCTTTATTGACATGTTGTGAGAGATGGGATTTGAACCCATACCTTCTGGCCCGGAGGTAAGGACACTACCACTGCACCGCAAGTGGATTTTGGTCCTAGTTAGTTTGTTAATCAATCTGGTCCACACAGGTAATGACACACACCTCTAGGGCAGTTGAGTCATAAATACAGACCTCCTGGCCCAATGGTAGGGACACTATCACTGTGCCATGAGACTCATTTTTTTGCATAATCTGTAAATCAGATTAAATTAATTAATTGACCAAATGACACACCCATAAAGGAGCACCATATCAACATTTAAATTCTCAAATTAACTTACAAAATTAAAATTAAATTTTGGCTGTGAGCCACTTCTATTTATGGCTATTATCTAATGAACCTGTTATGATGCACTGCTGGAGCAGGTGGGACTTGAAACCAGGTCTCCTAGCTCAGAGGTAGAGGCACTATCACTATGGCACAACAGCCATAAGACCAGAAGATATACAAGCAAAAATTAGGCCATTTAGCCCTTCGAGTCTGCTCCACGATTCAATCATAGCTGATAAGTTTCTCAACCCCTTTCTCCCCGTAACCCTTGATCCCCTTGATAATCAAGAACCTATCTATCTCCATCTTAAATATACTCAATGACCTGGCCTCCACAGTCTTCTGAGGCAGTGAGTTCCATAGATTCACCACTCTCTGGCTGAAGAAGTTTCTTCTTATCTCCATTCTAAAAAGTCTTCCCTTTACTCTAAGGCTGTGCCCTCGGGTCCTAGTCTCTCCTAATAATGGAAACATCTTCTGAACATCTCCTCTGTCCAGGCCATTCAGTATTCTGTAAGTTTCAATTAGATCCCCCCTCATCCTTCTAAACTCCATTGAGTATAGACACCGAGTCCTCAAACATTCCTCATATATTAAGCTTTTCATTCCTGGGACCATTCTTGTGAATCTCCTCTGAACCAGCTCCAGGGCCAGTAACATCGTTCCTGAGATATGGGCCCAAAACTGTACACAATACTCCAGATGTGGCCTGACTAGAGCCTTATAGAGCCTCAGAAGTACATCCCTGCCTTTATATTCCAGTCTTCTCAAAATAAATGACAAATTTGCTTTTGCCTTCCTATCTACTGACTCAACCTGCAAGTTTACCTTGAGAGAATCCTGGACTAGAACTCCCAAGTCTGACTGCCCTTCATATTTATGAATTTTCTCTCCATTTAGAAAGTAGTCCATGCCTCTATTCTTCTTACTAAAGTGCATGACCTCACACTTTCCCATGTTGTACTCCATCTGGTACTTCTCTGCCCATTCTCCTAACCTGTCCAAATCCTTCTGCAGCCTCCCTGCCTCCTTAATACTACCTGTCCCTCCACCTAGCTTTGTATTGTCTGTAAACCTAGCCAGAATGCCCTCAGTTCCTCTATCTAAATGATTAATGTATAAAGTGAAAAGTTGTGGTCCCAACACTGACCCTTGTGGAACACCACATGTCACTGGTTGCCATCCTGAGAAAGACCCTTTTATCCCCACTCTCTGTTTTCTGCCAGAGAGCCAATCTTCTATCTGTGCTAGCACCTTGCCTCTAACACCATAGGCCCTTATCTTACTCAGCAGCCTCCTGTGAGGGACCTGGTCAAAGGCCTTCTTGAAGTCCAGGTAGATAACATCTATTGGCTCTCCTTGGTCTAACCTGCTCGTTAAGAATTCTAGCAGATTTGTCAGGTATGACCTCCCATTGATGAAACCATACTGACTTTGCCCTATTATACCCTGCACTTCCAAGTATTCATAAATCTCATCCTTCACAATAGACTCCGAAATCTTACCCAAGACTGAGGCTGGGCTAATCGGCCTGTAATTTTCCATCTTTTGCCTTACTCCTTTCTTAAATAGAGGTGTCATGTTAACGATTCTCCAGCCCTCTGACTTTAGCGATTCCTGAAAGATCACCACTAATGCCTCCACTATCTCTTCAGCTATCTCCTTAAGAACTCTGTGGTGGAGTCCATCTGGTCCAGGTGACAAATCCACCTTCAGGCCATTCAGATTTTCTAGCACCTTCTCCTTCGTGATGGCCATCATACTCAGGTCTGCCCCCTGTCTGTCTTGAATTTTTGGGATATTGCTTATGTAACACCGTAAAGACTGACAAAAAGTAATTATTCAGTTCCTTAGTCATCTTTGTTCCCCACTACTGTCTCTCTAGCATCACTTTATAGTGGTCCAATGTCCACTTTTGCCTCTCTTTTGTCCTTTATATATCAAAAGAAACTCTTACAGTCTTCATTTATATTACTGACTAGCTTACCCTCATATTTAATCTTTTCCCTCCTTATTTCTTTTGTTGCCCTCGCTGATCTTTGTAAGTTTCCCAGTCCTCTGGTTTCCCACTGCCCTTTGCCACATTATATGCTTTCTCTTTTGCTTTTATACTGTCGCTGACTTCCCTAGTCAGCCATGGTTGCCTCATCCTCTCTGTAGCATGCTTCTTTTCCCCAAGGATGAATTTTTGCCGTGTCTCCTGAATTACTCCCAGAAACTCCTGCCATTGCTGTTCCACTGTCTTTCCTGCTAGGCTCCTCTCCCAGTCAATTCTGCCCAGCTCCTCCCTCATGCCTCTGCAGTTACCTTTATTCAGCTGTAATACCGTTACCTCTGATTCTATCTGCTCCCTCTCAAACTTCAGAGTAAAATCAATCATATGATGATCACAGCCTCCTAAGGGTTCCTTCACCTTAAGCTCCCTTATCAAGTCTGCCTCATTGCACAACACTAAATCCAGTACTGCCTATTCACTTCTGGGCTCCACCACAAGCTGCTCCAAAAAGCCATCTCGTAGACATTCCACAAATTCCTGTTCTTGCAATCGACTACCAACCTGATTTTCCCAGTCCATCTGCATATTGAAATCCCCCATGATCATTGTAACTTTGCCTTTCTTACACATCTTTTTAATCTCCTGGTGTATCTTGCACCTCAGCTCCTGACTGAGGTTTAGAGGCCTGTATGTTTTTTTTTAAATCTTTTGCGGTTCCTCGACTCTACCAACACAGATTCTACATCATCTGATCCGACTTTGTTTCTTACTATTGATTTAATTTCATTTCTTACTTATAAGGCAACCCCACCCCTTCTGCCCGCCTGCCTATCTTTTTGATAAGATGTATATCTTTGGACATTTAGCTCGCAGTCCTGATCCCCTTGCAGCGATGTGATGCCCACCATGTCATATTTGCCAATTTCGAGCCACAAGCTCATTTACCTCATTTCTTATACCGCGTGCATTCAGATGTAACACCTTCAGTCCTGTATTAACCGTCCCAATTCTCATTGTCACTCGTTTATCCAGTGTGCTTGAAGTTTGATTCCTAATCCTTTCCAAACACTCTGTCCTATTTGTGTCTGTGCTGGAGAATTTAATAACCTCTCCCGAGTTCTTCTTTCCTGTCATTTCTTTCATATTTTTCCACACAATTGAATCCACCGCTATAGATGTTAACCTGCTGCTTTGTTTCCTACTGGGCTAAGTTTCACCACTTACCCACTTTCTACGTTAAGGTCCTGTTGTCCACCCTATTTACCCTTTTTGCTAGAACATTGGTCCTGGCTTGGTTCAGATGGAGACCATCCCAATGGTATAGATCCCTGTTCCAATACTCATGCCAGTATCCCATGAAGAGGAGTCCCTCTTTCCCACACCACTCCTTTAGCCACGTGTTTAATTCCCTTATTCTTGTGTCCTTATGCCAATTTGCACGTGGCTCAGGCAGTAATCCGAAGATTATAACCCTTGAGGCCCTGTTCTTTAATTTGGTTCCTAGCTCCTGATAATCTCTGAACAGGTCCTCTTTCCGAGCCTTGCCTATGTTATTTGTTCTAACATGGACCACAACAACTGGATCCACCGCCTCCCTCTCCAATATCCTTTCAAGCTGGTCAGAGATATCCCTTACCCTGGCACCAGGCAGGCAACACACCATGTGGGACTCTCGATTCTGCTTACAAAGGATACTATCTATTCCCCTAATTATAGGATCCCCTACAACTACTACCTGTCTTTTTGCTGCCCCCTCTTGAATGGCCTCCCATGCCACAGTGCAGTGGTCAGTTGGCTCATCCTCCCTGCAGCCCAAATCCTCATCCACACAGGGAGCAAATACCTTGTACCTGTTGTACAAGGTCAAGATTTGAGGTTCCTCTGCTCCCGACTGCAGGATCCCTCTACATGCTTCGCTTACAGTCACACCCTGCTGTCCCTGGCCACTGACCAAATTTGAAGTACTTAATCTACCAGGTGTGACTGCCTCCTGAAACAAATTGTCCAGGTACTTCTCCCCCTCCTGGTTGTGCTGCAGTGTTTGAAGCTCCGATTCCAGCTCATCAACTCTGAGCCGAAGTTCCTCGAGCAACCAACACTTGCTGCGGATGTGGCCACTGCAGTTCGCAATGGGATTAGCCAGCTCCCACATCATACAGCTACAACATATCACCTGTCCAGCCGTCTCTACTTAATTAATTACTTTATTAATTTATATAATTTGTTATAATGAGTTAATTAAATTTGTTGATACTTCTTTCCTGGGTTCTTTTTCAAATTTAGTGCAGATTTCCGACCAACCAATCAGGTCACAGCCTCCTTGTGACATCACTGCAGTGTTTTGCAGCTAGAGTATCCTGAGCCCCTGTAGATTTATAATCACTCAGTGCTTTTCCTCCACCCTTAGACAGCTTCCTACCGACTAGGCCGTGATCCCCAAGACCCGGTAGATTTATACTGACTCTGTGCTGCTGTTCCACCCTCCAGTGGCTTCCCACTGACTCACCTCCTCCTGGACTACAAGAACCCTAATGTTTCTGTTTATATCTTTTTTCCCTGTGTGTATGTATATCTTTTGATTTAACTTATTTTCCTAATCAACCTATTCAGAGTTGTTATGACACCTCTGGAACAGATGGAACTTGAGCCATTCAAGGACACTACCACTTCACCACAAGAGGACCCTTTTTCCTGTTTATATCAGATGAATCCCTAATTCATCCCACCCATTGAACATAATTAACCCTCAATTCATGCGCATTTTAACACTCACTATCTCTCTGCTTCTTACATAATGCCATAGTTTAGTTCTGCGGTTAGTTTTGGTGGATGAGAGGGAAATCCTGGACTGTGTTTTCTATCTTCTTTCTAAACATTAAGATTGAAGATGCTACACCGCTTGAACAGGCATTTGAATATTTTCTGTAATTTGTAAATTTTATTTTCATTCTAGAAAAGTATTTTGTTTTATTGACGGTTATTGCTATGATATTGATTCCATCAGTGTATTTTCCAATAAATATATGTTCTGTGCTCTAAACTATAGCTCGTGTGTGATTTTTTTTTTTGAAAGATAACGGAAGGTGCATTGTGTAGAAATAAAGCAATAAGGACTGGATGTCATGATGCTTAAAATATATCTGGGCTTTGTGAAGTTACTGCCCGCCTTACTAAAATTTAGAACACTTGTACAAGATCCTAATTAATCCAGTATTTTTGTCTGCTGCATTCAATTAAACTTACATGAACTTGCATTTACTTCCAGGGTCAGACTTCCACCATACATAGCATGCCTTTAACTTCTTCGCAGTTTGCATGCTTACATGCATGTTCTAATGAATTCCTCAGGTGCAGACTTGTTGAAAATGTCTAAAGAAGATTTGATCCAGATTTGTGGTCCAGCAGATGGAATCAGACTTTTTAATGCAATTAAAGGAAGGTGAGTCATTCAAAATATTGCACCATAACTTTCTTGCTATAATAACCAATATTCTTTAAACAAGCCACGATCAAGTGTAGAATTGCAATCCTTTATTGTAGATCATTCCATTCCAATTGAACTGACATAATTTACTTCTTTTGTCCCAATTTATGTGTAAAGCTTCTTGAATGGCTACCTTTGCATTTGCCTTATAGTAGAGACCTATGAACTTTAAAGAGGTCTTGTGGCTCAGTAGGTAGTATCTTTCTCATCTGGGCCAGAAGCTGAGTGTTCAAAACCTACCCCAGGACTTGATGGCCATGCAAGGAGCCTCATGACATGGTCAAACATGTTATTAACATCCACCTGTTAATTCTTCCATCATGCCAGTGGTAAGAGCAAGAGATTCCTAGTTAGCCATACTTGATGTGAGTGGTATTGCTCAAACTGTAACCAGTTGTCTTTCTTGAACAGAGAGAAATGCCAATGATCCCTTGCGGAATGAACAAAAAAAGTCCCAAACTGCCGAAGATATTCTAAAGCCTGTTGAGGCTATGCATCTTCAAACATCTAGGTAGTTTTCTCTTGCCCGTCAAAGCTTATTGTATGACTCACGTTCCACTTTTTGACAAATGCTCACCGATACTAGTCTGTTGTTGACTATTTTCTCCATTTCTTTTTCTCTGTATGCTGCTGAATGCCGGTGGGCACCAGCACCGTACCAAAATACAGAGAATTCCATGAGATCTAATGAAGACCTTCAAGTGTAATCCCTTTGCCAATTTGAACAAATTCACAAATATTTCTGTATTATGGTGTGTACGCTTCTGTTTAAAGTTGACTCAAAGGCAGTTTTACTTAAGTAGATAGACAGGTTTTGAGGTGTCTCCCTGAGTATTTTTTGGTCACTTGTAGTTCAAGCATGGCTGCGATTGAGTAAGTACTCATTAACTTCTTGTAGTGCTACGTTAACAAAAAATACGTTGACAATTGCTAGCCTTGTAGACAATTCAAATGTGAAATGCTTAAATATATTTTAGACTTGCATCTGTTGTAGCTATTCATCCCTAATAATACTGCAGTCTGAAATTAACTTTGGCTTTCAAGTACTGTATTAATACCCCTCTTTCTGGTACTCATGCTCACAGAAATGTGTATCCAAAACTGACTATCTACATGTGTCAGGAGCCTGAAAATAATCGCGATAATCATCAACAAAAACAAGACACCATCGGGGGAATTAGCCCTTCATGCGGTGAGTTCTGGTCTGGGTATGTTTTAGCAAGAATGAGCCTTTGTGAAAGCCTGTCAGAACCAGAAGGAGGTTAGAAATTTCACTGAAAAATCTTTTTTTTCTGTCCTCAACCACATTAATGCCAATACCCCTTCTCCATCACTTAGCAACACAGCAAAGCCTAATGGTCTTGCTTTCAGATTTGGGGATTTGCTTTAGTTTCCAAACTATTCCAAAGCACGTGAACAAAGAGAATGTTCTTATTTTTGTGTATTTCAGTCTCAGGAATATGGTAGGATATGGCAAGGCACATTCCAGCTCCAGCAAACATTTCCACTAGGATAAGAATATTAATGAAACTGCTTGAAGCTGTATTATTACATAAGCGCAGGACAGGGCACTGACTGCATGCAAGGGCTCACCAGAGATTGTTACAAATTAAGTGAAAGGATTAAGAAGTGGCACAAAAGATTTCAGTATAGATAGATGAAATTAACATATTCCACAACAGTAGGTATAGCATTTGCAAACAAAAAGGGACTACTTAGGAAAACTAAATGGTTATGATTATTATGCAGAAGCTATCCAATCCACACAAAGGATTTGGGTGTGATTTTTCATCACAATGAAGATACAAGCAGCCATTAACAGCATGGTTAACTGAGCTGGAATGTGTTTCAAGGACATTTGGTTGTAAGTTGAAATGAATTATTAACTCTGTACAATACCTTAGTAAGGTCATTTAATGTTTTCCAGAGGATTTATTTTAGGCAGTAATGTTCTCACAAAAAGACTGCTTGGGCAAGTTCAGAAAAGAGTAGGATGACACTTGGGCTTAGCCTCACTGCGATGTGGAAAGACTTTTAAAGAGCGGTTTTTAATTTGTGAAGTGAAAAGACTTAGAAAGAACATGACTGAAGTTTTGAAGATGAAAAATGCGAGCAGAAGCTGAATTCACTTGAGCTTTAATTTCAGTTTGAGGATAATAACTAAATTAGCAATCCTTGGACAACACTGCATAATAGGAAGATTTTTATGTTCAGTTTGCATCCCAGCACATATTTCCAGCAGAAGTAGTTAGCAAGCAAGGAACAGCCTTAGGTCACAGTCCACATTAAACCCAATAGTATAAGAAGGTATGAGACTCTATAGAGATTCACAAACTGAGAAACGGAACATCAAAGGTGGTAATTCAGAATTACATGGTACATGTGCTGGTGAGTATGGGGACAACAAGATAAAGCAGGTTAATTCATTACTTGCGGAAAGGTACAGAACTGAGGTCTTCATTTTTCTGGGGCACTGGGACATCTTTGCTGGGTGACCTGTAAAAGGTTGCGCCTGAGCAAAGCTGGGACCAATGTCCTTGTGGGAAGTTAGGTATTGCTGTGGGGGAAGGTACAAACTAATTGGTCAGGTTGGGGTATAAATTAATTTGGCAGTGGGCGGATATCAGTGTGGAACGAAAACATAAGGGACAGCACAGTGGCTCAGTGGTTATCACTACTGCCCCACAGTGCCAGGGACCCAGGGTTCAATTCCAGCCTCAGTCAGCTGTCTGTGTGGAGTTTGCACATTCTCCCTGTGTCTGCGTGAGTTTCCTCCATGTGCCCTGGTTTCCTCCCACCGTACAAAGACATACAGGTTACATGCAGGGTTACAGAGATGGTGTGGGTGGGATGCTGATCAGAGGGTCAGTGCAGACTTGATGGGCCGAATGGCCCCTTTCTGCACTGTAGGGATTCTATGGCAAGGGAAGCAACAAAAATGGAAGTTGACAAACTGCAATAAAGCAATCCAGAGGAGAGGAACCAGTTAGAGGTCAAATGAAAAGCAGATTCCAGCATGGTTGGAAAGTATGTATGTTAATGCATGCAGTGTGACAGAGAAAGTTGGTAAGTTGCAGGCATGGGTTGTAAAGGAGATTTGAGCAGGCAAGGGAACTTACTGGGATCGCAACACATTTAGGAGGAATAATGAAAGAAAGGAGGTGAGGGTGAGAATGTGAATCATGTATAGTATTACATTCTGGAGATTGGATGACCTGCTTGACAGTTCCAAAGACAAGATACATTTGGTTAACAATTTGGGAGCAGAGGAGAAGCTATTCTGCTGCCTGGCAAGGAGCAGCAAGTATTTGTCAGCATGTTTAGGAAAGATATAAAAATAATAGTGATACTAAAGGACTCGAGTATCTTAATACAGACTGGAGTTAAATATCAATGTAGAGGGTTAAAAGGGGACAGAATTCCTGAAATTATACAGGCACACCTTCATGATCAGTACGTTTCCAGCCCAATGAGGAAGGCAGCTATGCTGGATCTCATTTCGGACAATGAAGCGGGGAAAGCATTTGAGAAGCAGTGATCATAATACTTTTTGGTTTGGAGTAAGGAGTGGAGCAAGGAGCGATGAAAATGGAAATACTAAAGTGGAAGAGGGCTACTTTCAGTAAGTCGCAAAGGGATATAGACTTCGATGTCAAATTTGCAAATGGTACAAAACTCATGAACATGGGAAAGAGTGAGGAGGATCATTACCAGATTTCAGGAAGGCATAGACAGACTGGTGAAATGCCACACACAGGTGAAATTTCATGTAGTGCCACTGGTGGCACAGTGACTCAGTGGTTATCACTGCTGCCACACAGCGCCAGGGACCTGGATTTGATTCCACCCTAAGGACCTTGACCTTGATTGTCTGTGTGGAGTTTGTGCATTGTCCCCACGTTTGTGTGGGTTTCCTCCGGGTGCTCCGGTTTCCTCCCACAGTCCAAAGATGTGCAAGTTAGGTGGATTGGCCATGCTAAATTGCCCGTAGTATCCCGAGATGTGAAGATTAAGTGGATTAGCAACGGGACGTAAAGGGTTACAGGGAGGGGGTGGGTCTGGTTATGAACTCGATGGCCGAATGGCCTGCTTCTACACTATTGGGATTCTGTGATTCTACTGATGCATCTTGGAAGCACGATGAGAATGGAAGATATAAGCCAAGTGGTGCAGTTTTACAGTGAGTACAGTTTTAAGGAACAGAGAGACCAATTTAAGAGGGTGGTTCTTATAGAAATGTCTGGTATGCTGGGCTTTATCAATGGTGGCATAGAGTACAAAAGTAAGGGAATTGTGTTAGGTCAGTCTTTAAGAAGCAGAGGTTAGGTAGCAGCTGGAGAATTCTGTCTAATTCTGGGTGCCAAATGATATGAAGGATGTTCGTGTTTTCGAGAGGGTGCAGAGGAGATTTACTCGATTGAAACCAGGAGTAGAATTATGTGGAAAGGCTAGAGAAGCTATGATTTCTTTGCTCAGAGCAGAGAAGATTAAAGGGAGATTTAATAGAGGTTTTCAGAACGTGAAGAGTTTTGACAGAGCACATATGGAAAAGCTGCTTCCATGCAGAAAATGAAAAGACTTTTTTCTCATTCAATAGTATATGCAATAGGTTGGTGTATTCACTAAAGATAAATTGACAAGTTTGCTTTGAAGCATTGAGAGAGATAATGGGCAAATGCACAGCAGATAAAATTTAACATAGAGAATTGCGAAATTATACAGTGTGTGAGACCAGAGAGACCGGGGGGTGTTTGTGCAAGAAAAACAAGTTGAAGCTGATAGGACTCATTGAGCAAACAGGAAGATGAGAGTACAAAGGCAAATGTGAACCATTTTCAAACACTGGTTCAACCTCATCTGGAGTATGTTCTTCAACTCTGGGCACCACTCTTCAAGAAGCAATGTAGAAAAAGATTTACAGGAATAGTTTCAGGGTCATTGAGGATCATTAACTACATGAAATAATTGGAAAGGATGGAGTTGTCCTCCTTTTGAGAAGTGAAGTTGGAGACATTGTTTGATTGAGGTGCTCAAAATCAGGAGAAATTTAGAACAGAGTAGACCGAGCAAAACTGTTCCCTTTGAAGGGATTGCGAATCAGAAACAACTTATTGATAAAAGAGCAAACAGCAACACCAGGATTAATTTTTTTTAATGCAGAGAATGGTTTAATTCTGGAATGCACTGCCTGAGAATGTGGTAGAGCAGGATTAAGCGGTGACTATCAGAGGTGGATTAGAGAATTATCTGAAAAGTTTTACAGGGATATGAGGAAAAGGTATTTGAATGGGACTAAACTGATTTACTCTTACTGAGACTACACATGCGCAGAATGGGCCAAATGGCCTGCTCCTGTGCTGTACCATTTATATGATTCCATGGTTGTCTCCCCACACCTACAGTATATGTATCAACATCGGGAGAAGTGGGAAGCAAAGAGGAAAACATTTCCAAGTATTTAATGTGTTTCTTATTTGAACTGTTTTTTATGTGATGAAATTCTTTTTCCCGGTTTCCTCCAGTATACCATGCAATCTTTTTGGAAGAGCTGACAGCGATAGAATTAACTGAGAAAATAGCAAATCTGTACAGCATTTCTCCGCAGCAGATTAACCAGATCTACAGACAGGGACCCTGTGGGATCCACGTGCTTGTCAGTGATGAGGTGAGATCCAAGAGAGGTCCATGCGCAGAATGGCAGCTGAGATGGCGGTCGACCTTTTTTTTGACCTTTTCTTTAAAAAGATTTTTCTTTCTCTGGAATCGTCTGTTGGGTTTGAATACTCCAGAATGGAATCAATTTGGACTCAGGTTGAGAGTTCCATTTGTTAGGTGTTTGCTGACCAGAGTGTTTCTCTTAACTTCGGCTTTTCTGAATAGGAGACTAATAAAACATTTTCTATTGCTTCCTTTTGTCTTTTTTCTTCTTTTCTGTACTTTACTTTCCTTCCATTCTTCTCTCATTCCCCTCCTTCCTGTTTTCCTCCCTTCTTGCCCTTCTTTCCTTCATCTGCGTCTGCTTTCCTTCCTCCTTCCCCTCTTTCTTTCCATTTTCTCCTCCTCACTCCTGGACTGAAATCTTTTCTCACTTTCTTCACTCTGTCTTTCCTTCTTCAATTGGCATTATTTTCAAACTTTATTTACCTCATTAATTTTTCCTTCTTTTCTTTGTAATTATGGTTATATCCTTTGAGGTGGTGTGGCCTCTCATTATTCATACTTCAAATTTAAAAACAACTACCTAGAGATCGCTGACCCATATTAGAGTTTAAATTGAGGCCTACTGGAAGGTTATCATGCTGGAGTTGCCAAAATCTCAATACAAACATTACTTTTCACAACATCTTGTAAGCTGGGTAAAGTGTGCTTCAATAATTAGAGGAATTTGCTGAGGTAAATACTGAGATTTGGCATTTTAACATATTGGTGGAGGAAAACTAAGATCTTTACATTATATGGTAGCTATAGCTATCTGTTCTTGATATGAAGCCCCTGAAGAAGATTATATTATGACAAAAATATAAGGTGGTGGCAAACTACATGTGACAGAGATGGGTACATTTATTGAACCGATATGCTTACCTGGTCACTGCAGTATCTTTGCTTATTTGAATTAAAAGTCCTCTCCAGTGTTTGTTATAGAGTTGAAGAAAATTACATTGAATAGACTTGGATTTGTCAAATGTTCCCTGAAGCATATTTTCTGACTGATACAAAATTAAAAACAGCAGTTGTGGTATTGACAATTTATTGCTTCGTTTTGGTTCTGAGCTTATAAAGTCTCAGGTGAAGTAAGAGAAAGAGTTGTGAGAAATGCCAGGGTGTGTTTTGAATGATGAATTTATTTCACGCCTTGTTTGGTACGTTACAAAATACTTAATAACATGAGCTTTTGGGCAGTGATTGCGTGTTGCATCTGGGAAATGACTCTGATTTGCCGAGAATGATTTGAGTCTGGATGTGTTGCTGCTTAGCCCAGCTTGTCCCCAATTAGAAAATGATACAATCTTAGTTCAAGCAAAATGAATGCGGTTAGAGATTTGTGTAGACATGAAAGCTACTGTATTCAGACCTCTATTTGTCTTGCCAACTTAAACGCGAGGTTACTGACTTGCCAGGAATTCCTATGGGTGGGTTGGTTTTGGGGGGTGCGGGGGGCGGGGAGGGGGATGCTTCTGGAAGACGCGGTTAATCTTCCTTACCACTGATCTTAGCCGGTCTCTGTTTTCTGACCCAGGAGTCAGCTTCACTTGCAGGACTCAATGTTTTAATCATTTAAAACTGGGATTCTCCAGTTGCACCCTTTTGCCCCAGGCTGCTTTTACAAGTAACAGACTTCTTGTTTTTGATTTAATATTTGGGTGCGGTAAATATGAAGCAATTATGCTTACAGTAAAGTCATGATAAGTTGAATTGCAGAGGGCTCATCCTTAAATTTGTGTTAAATTGTAATAATTGAGGAAGCCCAACCTATTGTACCAGTCCTGAGGTACTATGATCTAATTGAATGGTGAAGCAGCCTTGACAGGTGAAAGATGTGCTTCCACTCATGTTTAATATGTTCATGTGTTCATTTGTCAACAAACATGCTCTGTGTCAACATAAACCCAAATGAAAACACAGTTGCACAGTGCGTATGTGAAAAGTCTCTGTACTTTTTAAGTTGTTTACACCTTACAGTGACCTGACCTTGTCCAGTAAAAGGCACATTGGGAGCTCGTTGTGGAAAAATGCAGTCATCTTTTTTCCCCTCCGTGTGCTGTCTTTAGACACAGCTATCGTGTTGTCAGTGCAGTCAAATGTGTTTTCTGTGTCTTTATTGTGCACTGTGAAGTCCTGGAGCACCGTGCTGCCTCTGTAGCTTTAACTGGGCAAAACAGGTGGGTGAGCAGGCAGCATTCATCAGAGATTTTGGGGTTGTCACGGTGTATCAGGTTCACCTTGTATCCGATCAACTGAACTTTTAACTTTCTCTCAGGTTATTCCATGCTTGCTGTGTTTGAATATTCTTTCACAGAGAGTTCTCAAAGTCAAATGGTGGCTTGCCTGTGATTTTGTGCTTTAACATGACCCATGGCCTTGTGGAATTCTATGCTCACAGAGAGCTACTGAGGTCAAATCGTGGAATGTTTTCAAGAAGGAATTGGATATAGTTCCTAAGGCCAAAGGGATCAAAGTGTATGGGGAAAAAGCAGGAAGAGGCTGCTGAGTTGGATGATCAGCCATGATCATATTGGATGGTGGAGCAGATTTGAAGGGTTGAATGGCCTACTGCTGCTATTTTCTATGCTTATGTGTTTCTAACTCTGCTCTGTTTGGTTGGCTCAGTTATACAATAAATGTGTATGGGTTTGGCTAATCCTGGCATTGCCGATACAGAATTCTGGCCAATCATGGTAATCTTTCTATTGGATTCCCTGTTCTTCCAGCAGAAATGGCTAGCAGTTTTGCCACAGCTGGAGTTTCAGGTGACCCGAGTTTCACTGTAATTAGCTTCAACTGGAGCTGTTGCTACACCATCATAGTATGAAGCAAAACTCTTACAACATGCCTCATGTATCAGAATAAATTTGATCCAGAATATATGACATAGTGCAGCTAAGATGATTGACAATTCCTGTCAGATTTTCTGAGGGCATTCAATTCTTAAGTACAAGCTAAATGCCCAAAATGCTAAATTTTAAGTCTGAACTTTTAAAGCTGGGTGACTCTTTAAACAAAAAAGACGTGTGACTATCCCCCAGGCTTCTTGTCCATTCCTGACCTGTTGTCCATAATACAAGCGTTGGTTAGACAGTCATAGAGCGGTACAGCATGAAAACAGACCCTTCGGTCCAACTTGTCCATGCTGACCAGATATCCTAAATTAATCTAGTCCCATTTCCCAGCATATCCCTCTTAAACCCTTCCTATTCATGTATCCAATCAGATGCCTTTTAAATGTTGTAATTGTACAAGCCTCCACCACCTCCTCTGGCAGCTCACTCCATACACGCACTGCCCTCTGCGCAATAAAGTTTCCCCTTAGGCCCCTTTTTAAGTCTTTCCCCTCTCACCTTAAACCTGTGCCTTCTAGTATTGGACTCCCCTACCCCGGGGAAAAGACCTTGGCTATTCACCCTTTCTATGCCCGTATTGATTTTATAAACTCCAATAAGGTCACTCCTCAGCCTCGGACGCTCGGGGAAAATAGCCCCAGGCTATTCAGCCCCTGCCTATAGCTCAAACTCTCCAATCTTTGCAATATCCTTGTAAATCCTTTTCAAACCCTTTCAAGTTTCACAACAGTCTCTACTCACCTCTCGACTTAGCGTGGCTCTTACATGGGTGTCAATCCACCTTCGCTGTAATTTTTTTTTGTCGAGGTGGGAGGAGAGTCAAGGTGAGCTGTGTGGCAGCTTTTGCTGTGTGGGCAACTGTCAGAGAGGATGTGGGGGCTTATACTACCTGGAGGATGGGGAAGATTCCTGTGCTCACTAATCATATCCCTCAAGATCCTACTCCTCCCTACCTCAGATCTGGGAGAGAAGCTTTTTTGGCTTGTGGACTGGTTGTAATCCCAGCAGTGGCCAGTCCTGTCCTCCGTTGTTGCTGGAACACCAATCAACAATTCTCTTGGGCAGCACTTCCTTCTGACGAAAGTATAAGTCTTAACTTGATTCAATTAAAGCTTTGCCAGCATAATATTGGTCCAGGGCAGCTGGATATGTACTGGAACAAAAACAGAAGCTGCTGGAAAAGCTCAGCAGATCTGGCAGCATCTGTGAAGAAAAAATCAGAGTTAACGTTTTAGATTTGGTGACCCTACCTCAGAACTTTTCCAGCAACTTCTGTTTTTGTTCCTGATTTACAGCATCTGCAGTTCTTTCGGTTTTTATTGGATATCTGACTGGCTAAGTATCGGCTGACATTAAGTAATTGTCTGTAATCTATTCGACATCCACAACTTTGTCTTTTTGGACACTCATATTGTGCCAATCTTCAATTTTAAACAAGGAACAAAAACAAAGTTGCTGGAAAAGCTCAGCAGATCTGGCAACATCTGGGAAGAAAAAAATTCAGAGTTAATGTTTCAGGTCTGGTGACCCTTCCTCAGGATAACAGCATCCGCAGTTCTTTTGGTTTTTATTCAATTTTAAACAAGTCTGATTTAGAAATGTAATTGCACTCCCTAAATCCTTAAAACAAGATCTACATAATCACTGTTTCTTTTAAGATTTGCATTCAGAGATTGTAAGTTTGAGGTTATCACGTGGCATTGATTGTCAGAGGTTAAAGATTTATAAATAGACTTTTCCTTGCACCCAGGCTGTGGAATTGACTTATTGTGTGATTCATGCTGTTGAGCTGTTGAGAGTACCGTGGCATTCAGGTGGTCAATTTAATAGTCGTGGTGTTTTGCTATATTGCTTATTGAGAACTCCACAGTTAACCAATGATGAATAATGCATTGTTTTAAGGACTTCTGTGACATTGACAACAAGGTGTATATTTGAGACAACACAATGTGGAGCTAGAGGAACACAGCAGGCCAGGCAGCATCAGAGGAGCAGGAATGTTGACGTTTTGGGTCGGGACCCTTCTTCAGAAAATGTCAACTTTCCTGCTCCTTTGCTGCCCGGCCTGCTGTGTTCCTCCAGTTCCACACTGTGTTTTCTTTGACTCCAGCATCTGCAGTTATTGCTATCTAAGGTATATATTTGATACCGTTCTGTAGCAATTTGTGCCAGTTAGAGATTCTACCAGATAAGGGGTTGGGTGCAGGAGGTAGACAAATTACGAAGTGATTACAGGTTTGATCCCTCAGCCTAGTTATTTTTTTCAATTTCTCATGGAAGTATTGTTTGCTTAGTATAAGATGATTTTGGCAATTGTTTTACATGAGGCTCATTTAGCAGTTCTCTTATCCATGAGTTTGAAGCTTGTGGTTCAATTCTCACTTCAGCACAAAACTCAAATCTGACACTTCAGATTAGTACTAAGGGAATGCTACGCTGATTGAGGTGCCATCTTTCAGATGAGACGTTATAGTAGGCCCTGTATGCCTTGAGTTCAACAGAAAAGAGGCAATGCACAATTTTGAAGAAGAGTCAGGAAACACAGCAGTAAGTTTGCTTTCAGCAATGTTTGACAAATGTAGTCAAGGTAAGTGATTCGATCTGTATTGGTTGAGAGAGAAATGCTGGCCAGGACACTGGGAGAACTCACCTGCTCTTCTTTCAATCATAGAATTGGATCTTTTGCATTCGCCTGTGAGGGCACCCCATTTAATGTCTCAGTGAAAAGGCTGGCATTGTTGATAGTGCAGTTCTCTCTGAACACAATATCAGCCTCGACTATGTGCTGAAGTCTCTGGATTGGGGATTTATATGCATGACATACCAACTCTTGGCTGACAGTTGCCAGTGATGCAAGTAACAACAGTTGACACTGTGCTTCCAAGGTGCCAGTTGAGATCCTCGCAGCAGTCACTAGGCTGCAGTCCATTTGTTTTTAATGTCTGGTAAGTTACAGAAGATCCATTGAAGATTGTACCCACCTCCTTCAGCACTTCTGCAGTACTGACAGAGGCCAGAGCGTACTTTGGAAATGAACCAAGTTCCTCCAGAACTCTAACTTACTTACATATTTTTGATTTGATTTATTGTAGTCACATTTACCTATGTACAGTGAAAAGTTTTGTTTTGCAAGCAGTACAGGTAGGTCATAGCAAACAAGGACTCGCAGATCATAGGGTGCTTAGACAGAGCGAGGCACACAGGTTATGGCTGCACAGGAGGTGCACAAAGCAAGATCAACATTGTTTGAAGTTAGAGAGATCCATTCAGCAGTCTAACAACAGCAGGGAAGAAGCTGTTCTTGAACCTGCTGGTGCATGTGCTCAAGCTTCTGTACTTTCCGCCTGATGGAAGAGAGTATTACTGGGATGAGAAGTGCGAGTGGTCTTTGATGATGTTGGCAGCCTTTCAGTGGCAATGACATGTGCAAATGGAGTCCATGGATGGGAGGTTGGCTTCCGTGATGGTCTGGGCTGTGCACACCATTTTCTGTCATCAGGCTGTCATGCACCCAGATAGAATGCTTTCCATGGCGCATCTGTAAAGGTTGGTGAGGCTTTAGATGTACCAGTGGTTGAAGGAAGTATTGAAATGAGCTGATGAAGATACATTACATCAAAATTCCTTACAATTCTGTAATAATGATATTCGAAGATAATTTCCAATGATTTGCAGCAGCAATTTGACAAGGTATTACAATGCAGAGGGTTGCACATGGTAATGGTACTGCTTGGGCTTTGTCCACAAACCTGTCAAGAGAAATGGATTTCTTCTGATGTATATATGAAGATTTGCTGCACTGTTAGATGGAAAGGTGCCTTTCATTGCAGGGATCCAACATGATAGCATTTTTTACTCATACTATGTGGGTGTCAGCTGCAAAGGTTTGAACAGCAGAGGCAATTGTTTGTCATTCAACTCTCAAAAACTTCAAAACTTCTGTTTGTGCATTTTGTGACAAAGCACTCGTCCTTGTTATTGTTGCAGATATGTAGACGTGTGCTGCAGGATATTAGGGGAAGTGTTGGTAATGTCACTGGACTTGTAATTCCAGAACCCTCGGAAGGAGACATGGGCTCAAATCTGACTATTGCTGATGGTGAAATTTGTATTTATAAAAATGTAGAATAAAAAGATACTCTAATAGTGACCATCGTCCATTGATGTAAAACGTATATCTGGTTCACAAATATCCTTTAGGGAAGGAAATCTGCCATCTCTACTGGTCTGGTCTACATATGACTTCAGGTCCACAGCAATGCAATTGACTCTTAACTGCCCTCCAGGCAATTTGCAATAGGCAATAAATGCTGACCTAGCTGGTGATGCCCATACCCATGAATAAACAAAGAGAGAAACTTCTGCAACAGCGGCACTATGGTTTTCATTGAATCAGTCATCTATTGGAGACCAAGGTCTCATGAGCTTTTTTACCCAGATTTGGCAAACATCTTTTCTGATAGAGAATCATGGCACATGCAATTTAACAGACTCGCACCTTAAAGTAGCAAAGTCTCTTAAGGTCAGTGGGCATTATGCACTGGGGCAGTTAGGAATGGCCACAGCTTCTTAGGACATTGAGAAGAGCAATTGGTAATATACAAGTATGAAGGTAGAATGGCGGACACTGCATAATACCATTGAACAGTGAAGGGGAGTAATGTGCTAGCAATCAAGTAAAATAATGTGCCTGGGAATAGGACTTTGTACCTTACGTTTGGGTTACTAAATTACTAAATCAGCTGTACCTTGCCAAATGAGTGGTGTTAACTTGCCAACATCTTGCCAGGTTGCTCAAATTATCAACTTGTGAAACTTCTTGTCACAAAATCCTGAACATTCCAATCCTCCTTTCACTAGTTCTTCATGCAACCAGCTAATTATTTGAGGGCAAGTTCAGAGGTTTGGGGGGTGGGGACAGAGGAATGTGTTGACATCAGTCCCCTTGATCCCTATGCTGAGAGTCCCAAATATAATGTGGAACCTCTATTCAGTTTTATGCGTGTGTTCAACATGCAAAGATCACCACCTTTCTCACAGTCATTTTACTAAAATTTAATTTGCATGCCCTCCTAATTAACTGCTTCTGGGTTTGTCACATGAGGAGTGGTTGAGGACTCTGGGTCTGTACTCGGAGTTTAGAAGGATGAGGGCAGATCTCATTGAATACTGAGAGACCTGGCTACAGTGGATGTGGAGATGATGTTTCCACTAGTAGGAGAGACTAGTACCCAAGGGCACAGCCTCAGAGTGAAGGGACAACCTTCTATAGAGACAAACAGTACGGAAACAGACTCTTCAGTCCCATTTATCTGCACCACCCAGACATCCCAATCTGACCTAGTCCCACTTGCCAGCATTTGGCCCATATCCCTCTAAACCCACCCTATTCATATACACACATCCATGTGCCTGTTAAATCTTATAATTGTGCCCACCTCTACCACTTCCTCTGGCAGTTCGTTCCATACATGCACCACCCTCTGCATGCAAAAGTTACTCCTCAGGTCCTTTATAAAATCTTTCCCCTCTCCTCTTAAACTGAAACTCTTAAACTCTCCTCTTTGGACTGAACTGTGACAAGGAGGAATTTGTTCAGCCCGAGGGTGTTTGGTCTGTGGAATTCATTGCCACAGAGGGCTGTGGAGGTCAAGTCATTGAGTGTATTGAAGACAGAGATAGATAGGTTCTTGATTAGTAAGGGGATAAAGGCTCACGGAGAGAAGGCAGGACACCGGGGTTGAGAAACCTGTCAGCTACGATTGAATGACAGTGCAGACTCAGTGGGCAGGATGGCCTAATTTTGCTCTGAAATCTTGTGGCCTTATGGTCCTCCCATTGCTACTCTATTAAGTTGTTGAGCCCTTTAAACTCCATACTTTACTTCACCACTGTGCCTGGCCCAGCCTCCCCTCCCCCTGACCCAGTGTAAATTGCAAGTCAGGGTGGGGGTTTCACTGCCTCACGTGCTGGAAGTCTAATGAGCAGGTGAAGGAGTCTAAATGAGTCAATGTTCCAATTATTAAGCTGCCAGAAATCTTGCTTTGCTGCTGTGTAGCAGTGGATTAGGGCAACTCTTTTTTGGGTTTATTACTTTCTTCATGTGTATTAACTCATACTTAATTTGACTTACTTTTTATGGAAATGAAAATTGTAAAATTTTAAAAAACCATTACTTTGTTGGAACATCAAGACCAGCAGAAACACAATGCAAAGGTTAAAAAGAAGCCATTGTCAATCAACCAGAATTTTGTGTAGAACTTCAGAAAATACTGGGTTGAGAAATAATATTTTGAATCGGCAGGACTGGGGCTGATTCAAATCCATTTGGTGACTCTGCACTTCTCAAACATCCACAACCACACGTCCCAAAAGGACTTGAGAGTTTGTGATGAGAAGTGGGGATACTGGCTCTTTTTCTCTCTCTCTTCTCTCCCTTTCCCCCAGCTCAAAGAGCATTGGAACCCAACTGCTGCCAAGCTAAGACCATGTAACTCTGCATGAAATATAGTTTGGCTGTGGAACCTCCTGCTTTGTATGGCTCTACACTGCATCAGCCAGTGCCTTTACTCACTTGACTAGTGGGAAGTTGCAAGTAAGTATAAATCTTGTTGAATTATGCCTGACTTTTTATTGTGTGTAAGGATCTTTGTACTGCAATTAAATTTCCAACCCCAAGAAATGTTTCTGAATTTTAAGCATGAATTTTGTAACTTGGCAGCGTAATGTGTTCTGTTCAATGTTTGCCTTAAGATCTGGCATCCCTGTTCTGGAGCCTTTTAATGTGGAAGTACATTGAGATCTAGCTAGTGCTAATCAGCATATTTGGTCCAAGAATTGAAAATATAGTTGTGTCAGACCTCAGTAGTAGTTTTGCCATTGTGCGTGGTTCAGCAACCAACACAGAATCAAATTGGGCTCAGTTTGAGCAAAAAATGGTCCAAAGGCTGTTTTATCATCAATGATAAGTGAATTAAGTGTCTCCTTAAATGAAATGCTCTTATTGATAAACATATTGGCAGTAGCTACAGGTGCAATGTTGTGGAACTAATGGAAATATTGCCCAGTATAATCTAGACTAATGGGTTTCTTTTATTTATAGATGGTTAAGAATTTCCGTGATGAGACTTGTTTTGTCATCTGCACCTTGAAAGGTACGGTTTACATTTTTACAGTTTCATGTATCACTATTGTGGTCTCGCATTGAGCTTTATTACATCTTCATTGTTTTTCTTGCAAGCCTTAACTCTTGATAAGTTGAACATTTTGTATTAACAGCTATTAAAATCTGTTCTTAAAATTCATTCATGGGATGTAAGCATCATTGGTTGGGCCAGGATTCATTGCCCATTTCTACTTGTCTAGAGGGCAGTTAAGAGTTGATGACATTGCTGGGGCCTGAAGTTGTATGTAGACCAGACCAGATCAGATCAGGATAGTAGATTTCCTTCCCTAAAGGACATTTATGAATCAGGTGGGTTTTCACCACAATTGACAGAAGTTGCAGGATCACCGTCCTTATTCCAGATTTTATTGAATTCACATTTCACCATCTGCCATGGTGGAATTCAAATTGATGTCTCCAGACATTGGTCTGTATTCTGGATTGCTAGTACAGTCACATTACGACTCCTCCCCTTGTTCTTGTTGGACAGCTTGGCAATAGAGAATATGTTCTCAGATATCTTTTATTCATTCAACTGGTTGAAGATTCTAGAACCAGGGGGCATGGTTTAAGAGTATGGGACCAGGTCATTCAAAAGAGATGTTAGAAAGCACATCTGCGTGCAAAGAGATTTGGAACTCCCTTCTTCAAGTGGCAGTCTCTGCTAATTCAATTCTTAAATTTAAATCTGAGACAAATTTTTGTTAAGCAAGGGGACCGAGGCATGTCAGTCCAAGACTGGCATATAGAGTGAAGTCACGGATCAGGCACGAATGTATTGAATCGTGGAGCAGGCCCAAGGGGCTGAATGGCCTGCTTCTGTCTTTGTGTTCTTATGCGGGTGACACCAGCTGGACCTGCGTTTATTGCCAATCGCTAATTGCCTCAAGAGGAGTTAAGTGTCAACCACACTGCTGTGTGAAATAACTCCACGAAGACTGGTGTCCAGTCACCAAGTCACCCTTTATTTACACGTGCATAGTACATGACACTGACCCAGCTAGCTCAGAGCTGGCTTTGAGAGTGAGCAGAACCCCTAACACTCTGTTTTATATCTGTCAGCCAGGGCTCCCTGATTGTGACCATTAACCTGGTCCAATCAGGGAACTCCTATACAATGAGGTCCACCTGGCTGACCTTGTCACTACACTGTGGGTCTGGAATTTTGTGGCGGCCACATCAGGTAAGGAAGGCAGATTTCATTCTCTTAAGGACACCATTAAAATAGACAGGTTTTTACCCCTACTGACAATGGTTACATTCCAAAAATGGTTACATAACCATCATTAGGTTGTTTTTTAAAGGAAAAAGTCCAGATTCTATCCTGAATTCCCATTTCACCGTCTGCCATAGTGGGATTCAAATCTATGTCCGAAGAACATTAACCTGGGTTTCGGATTGCTAGCTCAGTGACATTGCCACTACACCAGCACCTGAACTTAATCATTAGGGAAAGTGTCTGCTATATATTTCCTTGAGGAATTGATGCCATAAATTATGCTCTGTTATTAAAGAATTGCCCATATGTTCCTTCCCCACTTCTAGTTATCCTGCTGTTATTGTGAATGAAACTTAAAATTCTTGCGTGTTCTTTGCAGCTGAGAGAAATGATGGGTACAACATCATCTTAAAATGACAAAAGCTGCACCTGATTCCCCAACATCAGGAGGAAGATTTGACTGCTTCCATATTGTTTGACTGTTGTCATCATTGTCAAACATGAACATCTGATTATCAGGCAAAAGATGAATTGCCCACGCAGTTGAAACTGAATTTTTCTAATGGCTTTGAGAAAACAAAGTTTTTTTTTTCTTTTTCAGAGTGAATACTATATTTGGGAAAGGATGGAAAAAGGGGATGATGATGTAATTCTTTTTTTGGCATTATTTTGCCCAGTTCCCCAATAAGGGGTGCTATGCTTTATACAAGGCAAGATGACAAAATTTTTTGCTTTATTCTGCACACAATATGGTGCACAATTTTATTTTTGATTCTTGGTTATTTCCTAATAAGTGGAGTGACTTAAAAATCATGTTTTCCTCCTCTTAGTTGCTTAGTACTTAGTCATGATGAAAGCTAGCTGCAATTTTTAGGCAGATTAAAAATTGACAAAATCATTCCAAAAGCAAAGAGCTAAATTGCCATAAAGCTTCCCATATCAGTGAAATGAAATTTGGCTTATCCAGTGACTTTGATAATGAAATGGTTTGTTTGCATTTGTAGTTTCATTTGTAAAGGATTGCAATTGTAAAAAAGTTGCTTCCTGGGGAGTAAACAGTGGGATTAATTTGTCACACTCATGGTCCTTAATCTTGAAATGCTTATGTTCTGCAATGTTCAGACTTTGTCTTGGTTTAAGGACCCAAGCTAAGGTTTGAGTTGTCCAAAGTTTTCTTACACAGGTCATATCTATCTGTTCCAAGTCATCCTCATGAAGATGTTTGTGAATGTGCTGTGACTCTTTACTGGGACTGGTGCTCTTAAGAATTTTCTAATTTGAAGCTATGATCACAGTCAAGTACTGACAATCCATTTCCTTTACTTGGTGCTACAGTGGGGAAGGAGGTGGGGAGGGTAAGAGAGATAGCCAGGCAACTAACCTTTAGGATGGATGAAGAATATATTATTTTCCTTTATTAATCAGACCATTCCATGTTCAAGAGCATTCTTAGGTTTTATTAGATAAAAGAAATCATTAAAGAAAAAGCGTGAACAAACATAGACTATATTTTAAGGTTGGGGAGAAAGCAGTGATATCTCAAAAGCTGAAGAGTTATGATCATATATTTTTAGTTGTTCATGGGACATGAGCTTTGCCCTTTCCTAATCCAAGAAATTGATGATGAGTCATCTTGAACTGCTATAGTTCTTATGGTGGAGCTGCACTCTGTGCTAATAGAGGAGGAGCAGCCAAGTAAATAAACCTGCTTTTTGCATCCTGACATATTTTCTGTTCAATGTTTGAAGCTAGTTCCACATTGGATTCTTTTGGATTTGGAAAAACTGATGCATGAAGTTGTTCATTATTCAAAGACAAGGGCATTAATGACTACCTAGAGCTTGCTGTATGTCACAGGCATTCTCTCTCAATGGGATTCTTCAATTAACAGTGTGTACTTAATTGAAACTTATTTGCAAAATTGTTGGTTCCAAATTGTTATTGTTTACACAACTGCTACTCAATTGGTAAATCACCCGGGGGGACAAGTTGTTATTGCATTTTAATCAAAATAAATAGACCTGATATAAGTTTACAACATTTTCAGCCCCTTTCTTTTGCTGGAAATTCTGCTGCAGTTGTTGAGATATATTAAACTGAGTTCAATTACTTACCTTTATACATTATCATATGCAGAGGAATCCCCCACCCTCTCCAACCCTTCCATTGTCTCTGCTTCATGCTGATAGACCAGCAATGAGTGATTTGCTGGCAAGTTTAGTCCTAGCTTATGGTGGGTGGGTAAGACTGTTCTCATATCTTGGCTGCATTGAGCAACTTGAGGTGTGGAAAACTGGAAGATAGGGAAAGTGGGGGAGGAAGGAGAAGAATAATCTAGTTGGCCATACCAAGGCATTTTGTTTTCAAAATAAAACTGACAAATTGAACCAGAGGGCTGGTTTCTACCAGATTGCCTACAGCAGAGAGTAGCACAGTGGTTAGTACTGCTGCCTCACAACACCAAGGACCTGGGTTTGATTCCAGCCTTGGGTGACTGTGTGTGTGGAGTTTGCATGTTCTCCCCGTGTTTGCATGGGTTTCCTCCCACAATTCAGAGATGTGCAGATGAAGTGGATTAGCCATGCTAAATCGTACGTTGTGTCCAGGGATGTGTAGGTTAGGGGGATTAGCCACGGAAAACGCAGGGTTAGGGGGATGGTTTGGAGGTGCGTGGGATGCTCCTTAGAGGTTGGGTGCAGACGTGATGGGCCAAATGGCCTCTTTCTGCACTGTCAGGATTCTATGATCTATATTAGTTCTGATACTAGCCCTCAGGCGGGAGACCTTGAATTTCTGAAGTTCCCGACCTATCAGTTAAACTAAGTGAACCCACATATCAGGATTCAAATTATCTGAATTTCCATGAAACCAGAAATTTCCAATGAATCATGAGCCATCAGATTGGCATATGAATTTCTTCATTTCATGATTTTAGGACGCAATTTTCCCATGGTTCAGAGCAATTGTGGGAAATAATTGAGCGACTTAGCTCCAGAGAGTTACTCACCCTTTTCTCAGCACCTCCGTGATTAAATGGCGGCTGAGAAGGTCCAGTGGGGACTTTCTTGACCTATCAGCTGTTAAAGCCTTTAAATGGTCAATTAAGGGCTGTGTAAGGCCCTTGATTCCTCACCTCCCGATTACCTGCCTTTCCAGTGTATGCTGATTTTCTGTCTGGAAACCTGCTAGTGTGGTTTGGGGTCTCCATTTGCCCCAATTTGGGTGCTTTTGGAAGCACCAGTGCAGGGTGGTGCTAGAGAGTGGTGTCTGAAAGCCACCGTCCTGCTCTTGCCTCTGGCAAACGCCTCTCAATAAGCCCCACCCCATGAGAAGCAAAAGAAAATGATCTGCCTTCTGGCCTTTGGATCCCTGAAATGTAGGCCTCAACCAGTGTTCTGATTAACCTGGACACCGATGCTGTGGCCTGTGATAAGCTGAGAAGCTTGCCTAAGTTTGTCAGTCCGCTCTTAAGCGGATTGACGCACAATCTGGCAAACTTACTCAGCGTTTGAACTGATGGGTTAGCGAACATCTAACATGGCCTTGCTCACACTTAGCCTGAAAAAGGGAAAGTTGTGGCATTAATTTCTAATGACGACTTTGCAGGATTACCCCCCTTTACTGTAGTAAGTATAGTATTGAAACTTGCTGATTGAAGGGTTAGGTTTGACAGACATGGCAGGAATGTTGTGTTTGATAATGAATGTTGACCCACTCTGTTCAATCATCCATGATGCAGGCAACTAACAATGCATCAGGTATGGGAAACACCTTTTTGAATGTATTTAATCCCTTCACGAGGGAGCTGTGCCTACCTGCAGTGGCAGGGAAATTCTAATGGACCCAGCCATGGAAAATGTGGCTAGATAGAACTTAAATATCATAAATTTGGTTCCGAAAAGCCGACACAAGTTTAGATTTAGTGAAAGGCATTGAGGTGTCAAATCCTCACGTGGCAATAAATTACATGCAGTTCTGTAGCAAATTGCCTATTTATAGAAAATCTGTAGGATTTACTTCATCGATCTGCTTTTCTGTTGAGCAATGAACATGCATTGTCATTAACTCTGCATTTTAGAACACTGTCTCACAGTAGTTTAGGGCATAACCATTATACTGAATGAATTTAATGCAGTGACGTTTCAGGCAAATTTCCAGCTTGTTGTCTCTTTATGTGTTTAGTTTTAAACAGAAAATGCAGCAAGTCCTGTGCAGATCTGGCAGCACTGAGAGAGAAACAGATTTAACAGATTACGTCAGTGGGTGGGACAGGAAGGTGTGTGATACAGTGGAAGACAAGAGAGATTAAGTGGTGGAAGAATTAGTTTTACAGGACCAAAGGGAATGCTGACGAGGTACAGAACAGAACAAAAGATGTCCCTAGAGCAGGTGTGCTGCTGCCTGAAAGCAAAAATAAGAAGAAAAAATAGATTCACGAAAGAAAAGGAAAATGGGGCCAGAGATCTTAGTTTGAAATTCTTAAACTCAAGTGTTGAGTCTGGTAAGTTGTGAAGTGCTTCAATGGATGACGCAGAATCACCCTATAATATACGTCTGTCTTAGGGCTCTTGTTATGCAGTGATAGCATCCTTACCTCTAGACCAGGAGACCCCAGGACCAAGTTTTCCACCTGTCCCACTGGTAGAAAGGTTGATTAGGAAATGTATGGACTTTTGTCTCTGTCTTTGTCCTTGTCCCATCCATCAATTGTTCAAAACCTATTATGCATCCATCGCTTCCCAGTTCTGATGAAAGGGCATTGATCTGAAACATTTCTTGTTGTTTTTATTCAGATTTCCAGCATCCGCAGTATTTTGCATTTTGATTAGTGTATTTTTTTGAGTTAGTTATGTGCTTTCTATAAACTCTGAAGTACTATTTTATGTGCCTTAGAAATGTTTTTGTACTCCTACCAATTATGTGTAGCTAATGGTATATTGTCTTAGTGTTGGGCAAGATTGGCACAGTTAATTTTTTTTCAACCGGCTCTCTGGGTTTTCTCTTACACTTTTGTTGCAGTCAATGGGTGAATATACACATTGCTATATAAACTCGGCAGGATTGTGGAGATAACACTGGGGGAGGTTGGTTGGAAAATATTGAATGTCATTACTTTTTTTTTAATGTAGAAGCATGTTTTGCACTGGTTTCTGTACACTTCAGCTCAGAAATGGAATGTATTCTGTACCTGCAGCCCTGTACACTGGCCAACTTAATAAATCTACCTTTTATAACAACATTTACATGTGCTTTCATTTCTTATATACAGACAGATTCTGCTTTCAGTATTTTATGTAAAGAGAAGTAAATAAATTGCATTTGTGCAAAGCCTGTGACAACAAGCTTAAAGTTTTACAGTTAATACAAAACTTTTAAAATGTCCCGGCAGCATCTGTGGAGAGAGAAACAGAGGTAATGTTTTGACTTCGGTGTGACTCTTTTTCAGAACTGAAGCCAGCATTTTGAGCAAAAGTCATTCTGGACTTGAAACATAAACTCTATTTCTCTCTCCACAGATGCTGTCAAACCTGTTGAGTTTTTCCAGCATCTACAGCCATTTGCTTTTGTAAGTATCCAGCTTGTTATAATGGAAGAAATGTTTTCACAACCAGCTTCCACAAACAGCCACATGATGACGATGAGTTATCCTATTTAGAAAAGTTGATCAAACTAGGGTCATACCCACTAGGGTTTAGAAGAAGGAGAGGGATTCTTAAGATCTTGAAGGGACTGGATAGTTTGGATATCTGCAGGCTATTTTCACTTGAGGAGAAGACTAAAACTAGTGGGCATTGTTTAAGAATAAGAGTTATCCCTTTTAATAGAATCCCTACAGTGCAGGAAGAGAGCATTCGGACGATTGAGTCCTCACCAACTCTCCGAAGGAGACCCAGACCCATAATCCCGCATTTACTCTGGTTAATCGACGTAGCCTGCAGATCCCTGGACACTACGAGGTACTTTTATCGTGGCCAATCTACCTAATCTGCCCATTTGTGGACTGTGGGAGGAGCACCTAGTGGAAAAGCACACAGACATGGGGAGAACATGCAAACTCCACACAGTCGCCCAAGGCTGGAACCAAATGCAATCCCTGGCACTGTGAGGCAGCAGTGCTGACCACTGTGCCAACATGCCATCCCTAAGGTAGAGATGAGATTTTTTTTAAGGCTTGTTAGTATTTGGAATTCTCATCCCTAGGATGTACTGGTGGCTGGGTCTTTAAATTTATTCAGGGCTAGATTAGATTTTTTTATTCGCAAAGTTATGGGGTGCAGAAGGGAAAGCTAAACCGAAACAAGATCTTGTGGAAAGTGGAGCAGGTTAATGAGCCAAATGGCTTATCCATGCTGATATGAGCAGATGATTGATTTCAGTGGTGTTGGAGATAAATGTTGGTTCTCATAACAGGGAGAACTCCTCATCTTCACTTTGAAACAGTGTCATCAGGAACATTGTCCTTAGTTTGACAACTAAGCTGAAACACAGACTCCCAACAATCATTTTCATTTAGGGGATGTAAGCTTCTCTTGCTGGGCAAACCTTTATTGCCCATCCCTAATTGCCCTGGAAAAGGTGATGGTGAGCTACATTCTTGAATGACTACAGTCCTTGGAGTGTACAGGATTTTGAGACAGCAACACTGAAAGAACAGTGATTTATTTCAGAATCAGAACTGAGAGTGGCTTGGAGGAGAACTTGTAAGTGGTGGTGTTCCCATATATCTGCTGCCCTCGTCATAGAGGCATACAGCACGGAAACAGATCCTTTGGCCCAACTCGTCCGTGCCAACCAGGTTTCCTAAACTAAACTAGCCCCATTTGCCTGTGTCTGGCTCATATCCCTCTCAAACCTTTTCTATCCATGTACTTGTCCAAATATCTTTTAAATCTTGTAATTGTACTCACCTCTACCATTTCCTCGTTCCAGCTCGTTCCATATATGATTATACCACCATATATTCATATGCCACCTTCTGTGTGAAAGAGTCGCTCCTCACGCCCCTTCTAAATCTTTCCCCTCTCACCTTAAACCTATGCCCTCTAGTTTTGGACTACCTTACCCTGGGAAAAAAGACCTCGGCTATTCGCCCAACTATGCCCTTCATGATTTTATAAACCTCTATAAGGTCACCCCTCAGTTTCTTATGCTTCAGGGGCAAAGGTCCCAGCCTATCTAGCCTCTCCTTATAACTCAAACCCTTCAGTTTCAGTAATATCTTTGTAAATGTTTTTTGCACCCTTTCCAATTTAATAATATCTTTGCTATAGCGGGGCGACCAGAACTGTACATGGCACTTCAAATGTGGCCTTACCATCGTCTTGTACAGCTGTAACATGACGTCCTGACTTCTATATTCAGTGCTTTGACTGATGAAGCCAAGTGTGCCAAATACCTTCTTCACTACCTTGTCTACCTGTGATGCCACTTTCAAGTAGCTATGTACCTGCACCCCCAGGGCACTCTATTCAACAACACTCCCCAGGGCCTTACCATTGACTGTGTAAGTCCTGTCCTGGTTTATCTTGCCAAAATGCAACAGCTCACATTTATCTAAATTAAATTCCATCCACCATTCCTTGGCCCACTGAACCAGTTGATAAAGGTCCCAATTGTACTCTTAGATAACCATTTTCACTGTCCACTAGACCACAAATTTTGGCGTCACCTGCAAACTTAATAACCATGCCTCCTTTATTCTTACCTAAATTGTTTACATAAATGACAAACCACAGCGGACCCAGCACCGATCCTTGTGGCACACAGCTGGTCATAGGCTTCAAGTCTGAACAACAACCCTCCCTACCACTACCCTTTGTCTCCTACAGTCAAGCCTATTTTGTATCCAATTGACTAGCTCCTCCTGGATCCCATGTGATCTAACCTTACTAACTAAATTACCATGCAAAACCTTGTCAAAGGCCTTGCTAAACTCCCTGTAGTCAACATCTACCATTCTGCCTTCATCTATCTTCTTGATCATCTTTTTTAAAAAAAACTCAAATCAGGGTTGTTAGACACTATTTCCCATGCACAAAGCCATGCTGACTATCTCTAATCAGTCCTTGCCATTCAGTTGCATCTCTCAGGATTCCCTACAACAACTTATGCACCATTGCCATCAAGCTCACTGGTCTGTAGTTCCCTAGCTTTTCCTTGCAGCCCTTCTTGGCCACCATCCTTTCCAGAACTACTCGTTTCTGTTTCTCTCAGGATTGCCCCTGCACATTCAGCTCATCGACTGCTCTAACCCTCATCCACGTTCTCGTCAAATAGCCTCATGTAGCCCTAGATGGACCCTTCTGCACCCCTGCCCTACCACATTCTATCCTTGAGGTCCTCCAAAGTAAGGCCGTTTACCCCTATTACTCCCCTGCTTAGTTACACTTGTCTGACCAGGGGAAGATGTGATTGGGAAATAGTTATGGCAGCTTAGGTAGGGGACCCTGAGGAATCCCTACTGTGGCGCACTCCAAAGAAATTGGCTGAGAACCCCTTAATCCTCTGGGCAATTCTCTATGTTTGGAACCCTCCAAAAGCCTTTAATTTCAAGACTTCAGATAGTTCTGATGAAATTCAGTAAAATAGTTATTTCAGATAGGCTGTATCACTTGAGAAGCACTAAACTACACCTCCTACAGACTCTTCTAGCCCCACTAAACATAACTTGAGCTTCCTGTCCACCCCACCCCAGGGCCCAACACAACCAGGCACTAAACCCCCACTTTCATGTCATAGAATCCCTACAGTGTGGAAGCAGGCCATTTGGCCAATTGAGTCCACACCGACCCTCTAAAGAGCACCCAACCAGACCCAACCCCTACCCTAGACCTATAACCCTGCATTTCCCACAGCCAATCCACCCAGCCTGCACATCTTTGGATTATCGGGGGAATCCAGAGCACCCGGAAGAAACCCATGCAGACACAGAGAGAACATGCAAACTCTACACAGTTGCCTGAGGGTGAAATTGAACCTGGGTCCCTGGCATCATGAGGCAGCAATGCTAACCACTGAACCACTGTGCTGCCCAAAAGACCTGACCTGACTCAAATCTCCTTTGCCCACCAATCAGATCTGACCCAACACCCCCAGCCAGTGTACCTCATTTCTCCACCTATCTTGACCTGAATCATTGCATCACTTGCCAGTCTACCTTTCACCCTGGAACCCTACCCTTTAAATATATGCCTTCCTATCTCAAGCATCTCACTCCTCCCAACTGGCACCCTGGGTCCCACTCTATTGACTTGGCACCCTACTCCATACTCATCTGGCACCCTATCCTGCAGATGGCATCTTGTTCACTCTAATGTCGCACTTAGCTTATGTACCTACTGTTTGACAGTAACTGTCATTGTGGCCACCAGGATCTTTAAATTTCAGAATATGGCAGACTATTGCTGTGAAGAGAGGATGTGGTTTGCCTTTCTGCCAGAATCGAAGTATGACCCTGTAGTTCTAAGTGTTCTTGTGGTGCAGAGGCTGTGTCCCTATTTCTGAACTAGAAGGCCTGGGTTCAAGTCCCTACTGCTGCAGTGTTTCCTTTAATTTTCTTACTGGCATAGCAGGCCTCTGAGTCTGGTACGTATCAACAAACTGAACAAGTTTTTGTTTAAGGAAAAATGAAAGCGTGACAGGGGAAGTGGTAGATGTAGGTGCAGTTACAACATTTAAAAGACATTTGGACAGGTACATGGATAGGAAAAGTTTAGAGGGATATGAGCCAAATGTAGGCAAATGGGACTATTTTAGTTTGGGAAACTTGGTAGACATGGACGAGTTGGACCTGTTTTCATGCTATACGACACTACGACTCTATTAGTCGCTGCCCAGTCTTCCAACACCTCATCCGTGGCTGTCACTGATACAAATATCTCTGCTAGGGGCCCTGCAATTTCCTCTCTAGCTTCCCACAATGTCCTGGGATACACCTGATCAGGTCCCAGGGATTTATCTACTATTACGCATTTTAAGATCTCCAGCACCACCTCTTCTGTAAAGTGGACTCTTTTTAAGGCATCTCTGTTTATTTCCCCAAGTTCCCTAGCTTCCATATTTTTCTCCACAGTAAATACTGATGCGAAATATTTATTTAGGATCTCACCCATCTCCTGTGTTTCCACACGTAAATGACCTTGTCGATCTTTAAGGGGCCCTGTTCTCTGCCTAGTTACTCTTTTGCACTTAATATACTCCTAGAATCTCTTTTGATTCTCCTTAACCTTATCTGCCAAA